TTATAAACCATCGTCAAAGCTAATAAAAAGTAATAGCTGCAATAAACCCTCATATAAACTGGATGAGACAAAACCCCCGCTCGCCAGGAGCCTTCTTTTTTCTTTACCTTTATGGGGTGGTGGGGTTGTTGTGTTTACTAGTTTTGCTTACATATAACATATGCATGCATCTCTAGCTGCAGCGGTAGTCTGACGCAGCAGCTGTATATACACCCCATGCCTCGTGCCAGCAGCAGCAACAACGCTCTCTGCACCGACACAGCAAGAGCTATCTCAGCAACGGAGCTGCAACCGGAGCAGCAACTGCTGCAGCAGTTGCTGCAGCTGCTGCAGCAACTGCTGCAGCAGCTGCAGCAACAGCAGCGGCAGTTGCAGCACACACCAGCACAAACAGAAGCAGCAGCAGCATCAGTACAAATCTCTTGTGAGGTGTATCTTACTATATAACAAGTGTTGCATATCTAACTAACGGGGGGCCCCCCTGCTGCAGCAGGGGGCCCCCCAGCTGAGGGTTCGAGGCAGCAAGAAGGGGCCCCTGTTTTGTTGTTACTCCCGCAGCTTTATGTGTAAAATAAGCATTTATAAATATATTTTAAATTAATTCCTTGTATCATATAACAGGAGAAGCAGCAGCAGCAGCAGCAGCTGCTGCTGCTGCTGCTGCTGCGCTGCTGCAGCAGCTGCTGCTGCCGGGAGCAGCAGGGGGCCCTGTCTTCGGTTTCAGGGTACAAGTGGGCCCTCCTTCTGTTTATCTTTCATTTAATTTTGTATTTATTTATTTATTCTGTTTCTTCTGTTTTCTTTTTCTTTCTTTTTTTCTCTTTGTCTGTTCACGCGCTCAGCTACGGGGCTCCTTAGCCCGACTGCGCTGCGCATACTCCTGCTGCTGCTGCTGCTGCTGCTGCTGCTGCTGCTGCTGCTGCTGCTGCTGCTGGCCCAGCAGGGATCCAAGCAGCAAGGCCAGCTGTCTCTGCGTGACGCTTTGGCTGCAGCAGGAGCAGCACCGCATCGACTGCTGCTGCCACCGTTGCTGAGGGATTGTTCAGCACTTGCAGCAGCTGCAGCAGCTGCAGCAGCGGCAGCAGCAGCAGCAGCAGCAACAGCAGCACTTGGCGCAGCACGATCCGTAGTACTCTTCACTAGTGGCAGGAGCAGCAGCAGCTCTGGGATAGCAACATCAGCATTTGCTGAATGAGCAAGCTTAGCAGCAACAGCAGCAGCAGCAGCAGCAGCAGCAGCAGCAGCAGCAGCAATGGCAGCAACAGCAGATGCCTCTGTGCTGCGCTGGCGGCTCCGGGGATCGTCAACAGAGACGTCTCCCGTTGGCCTTGCGCTGCCTGTGTCGTGTGGGGAGGTGCGTATACACCTGAAGCAGCAGATGGGTGTTGCTGCACTAACAGCAATCGATCTGCTGCTGTCTTTTGAGGGGGCCCCTGAGGATGTGCTGCCAGACAGCTTGCTGCTGCATCAGCCTCTGTGTATCCTGGTGCAGCGAAAGCCTGCTGCTGCTGCTGCTGCTGCGCTGCGGGAAGCAGAGCTTAAGTACCAGCAGCAGATGCAGGAGCAGCAGCAACTGCAGCAGCAGCAGCAGCAGCAGCAACCACAGAATCTTCAGCTCCAACGGGGCACAGCAGCTAGCCGTGCAGCAGCAGCTGCTGCTGTTGCTGTAGACG